ATTTTGGCCAGGTGGTTAGGGGGCTCGACTCGCAATCTGCGGGTCGCGGGTTCGAATCCCCGTCCCGCCAAACATGCTAGCCCTTTCAACCGTGGAGGCATTATAATGTTGCGGTCAATCCCACTATTTGTTGGTAAAAGAAGAGTTCAAGAATTGGCGGTGGGTGGTGATGACTAGCTACCTTCCCTCTAGTCTTACACTGCTACATTAAGGACGGCTAGCGCAGATACCCCTCGTGTAGCTTTGCGCCAAATTCATAAACAAACAAACAAACAAACATTTGAATTCCAGTCAGTTTTTATAAGAGTATAATTTTGTTTGCTTACAGTTATTGATAAATTCCAATAAAAACGATTATTGATTAATAGTCAATACGTCACAGGGAGTCAACTGTGAATACGGAAGAGTCAACTGTAAACATAGAAGGTTATCTGTGAATATGGAAGGGTTAAAATACGGTTACTGAAATGAATAAACAAGAACACATAAAGGACAAGGAGCAAATCAATTAATACTTATAAAAACTTTAATTAAAAAACATATATGCAAATGTAACAGAGCTACCAGGATAAATTCACTCTCCTTAATAGCTATCAAATGACAATACATTTATTTATATAATTCATCAACTTATAACTACATCTGATAGCTGGTCCAAAATCACTCAAGAACATCCACCAACATTAAGAACCATACAGCTTTTCAATTTAATCAAAAATAGGTGTATGAAGCCCAACGTCTTAACAACCAAACAGAATAGTTAATAAGAGTAAAAAACACAATCAGAAACCTTTTCTTTAAACATGCTGTAGTCTTAATTCTATGCAACCGAGGCAGCCTTGAAAACACTAGCAAACATGGAAGAAAAAAAGATACTATCTCGGTAATTATGATAACTAAATCATCCTCAGCAGAGGAAGCTCGTGCTACCCGCGTGATTGAGAGTAAAAACTGTAAATCTGTTTGTAATAGAAAACTCTACATCATAAACGTAATACGAAATCAAATGTAAACTTGTGTTAACAAAAACTTTTGTTGTTCACATTTCTAACATGAGAAACGATCTTAAGAAACTTTCTCACATCTCCTAGCTCCCTTTTCAATGAAATTAAATCTACAAGTTAACTTCGTCTTTTCACATTATCTTTCTGACACAATAGAGACAAACAACGCCAGCATTGCACAATTAAATTAAAGTGAGTAAAGTCGTGGTTACGTTTTCTTTCCTTAAAATAATGATTAAAGTTACGTTTTGGGTGTTTGTTCCACATTTTTCTCTACCAAGGAGGGTAATACCCACCTGTCATTAACATCTCACCTAATTTTGTGAGCATTGCAATAGGCCAAGTGATAAATGAAAACCCGTATACCGAATACGACAGAGAAAAAAATAAACTATTGTTTTAACCAAGGTTTAAGTACCTTGTGACGCAAACCCTCACAAAATACTTTCAACTATGAGCTTTTATCCCAAGGAACCATTTATACTGTAATGTTGCACACCAGAAACTTTCTGATTTGTACCATTCTGTTATTGTCCTTAGAATCCCCTATAATGTTATGCTGAACTGTTGATTTTGAGACATTTATCATTCTGTTATTGACCATAAAAACCCTTTATACTGCTATGGCACAGCGGTATGTCTGTGGACTTACAACGCTAGAAAGCGGGTTTCGATACCCGTGGTGGGCAGAGCACAGATAGCCCACTGTGAAGCTTTGTGCTTAATTACGAACAAATACAAAAATACAAATTCTACTATTGTCCCAAGGAACCCTTTATACCTTTACTTTGAACAGGGAAACTTTGTACATTTCAATTATTGCCCCGAGGAACATCTTACACTGTTATGTTGGTTCTTTTTCTTGTTCCTTTCTGTTACTGACATGAGAAACCCCTTATATTGTTACATTGAAGAGTGCAATTTTGGTTTATTCTTTTCCATTTACTGGAGCTGAAACAAAATGT